GCTCCATTTTATTTAGATTATTGCACACCATTTGACTTAAGCACGAGAAGGGACACTTGGCCAGTTCACTGGCCCTATTGACAAGCCATTTATGGGCGATAATGCTCGAGCACCATCGAATTTGAGGGACAGGTCCAACATTGCGTATGCGCAACGCCGCCAACTTTGGGCCGCACGCACGCGACGCATAACTCATAAAGCGATAAAGGAGGAGCACATAAAACGCCAACGGAAAACTTTCAACAATAAACCGGGGGGATTGTAGTGGGTATTCAGGTTTTGGGCAAAAATATGAAGCAATCAAACAGACAATAAATGAAGCGAAGGAGTCGCGTCGTTGAGCCAAAGAAATGCAATCAAAGCAAAAAGTAATCTCAGCGATAAGTGCGAAAACGTGTCAAATGTCCTGGCCAGGGGCGGAACAGGATGCTCCTCATCGAAGGGGGCGTGGCTGCAGCTGACGTGGAGCAGCTTGCCCGCATCACGGGAGTCAATAAAGCGTAACAATATTTGCACTGTGCTGAAAAACAGTTGACAAAATGGCGCCACAGTTGGAGCAGCAATATGAAAATATTGTAAATGCAGAACGTTGAGAAGAAACTTAACCTGGCGTTTAAAGGGTTTCCAGCAGTGCTGTTATTTTGTTGCTTACCCGGAAAAATAATTTTATTGGGATTGAAAAAAAAATAAATACAAATTTTTAGAAATAAATATTGTCTTACTTTTTTGTCACATTCATCATTGACTTTCTTTTCTTCTTCGTACTTTTTAACTAATCTTTTCTGTTGTTGAATTCATGTAGATGCCGGCAGCACTAGTGAACAGGTGCTCCCGTTGTGTTTGCCTATGTTTGTTTGAGTTTTTGACGCTGCCTGCGGCACAGTTTGCGTTCTCCAAATGTTGCCAGCTGTCAGCTAAAAAGTTTCGGAGTTTGAGTTTGGCTCAAAACTTTTTTGGCCAGGCAACGCACATTTTTTGACGCATTAGCACGGGGGCTCTCAACTCGTTACAAGCCTCAAAAATGCCATTTTCCCTCCCCCAGATACACACTCTCGAGCATCGACTCGAATTTCCATAATGTCTGCCATGAAAATGCGATCGATTTTCGTGGGCTGGAGGGGTGTGTGTTAAGCAATGTGATGATGTGATGTGAGTGTGGCAAACAACAGGAAAAAAGACATAATGCTCCGGGCGTGTGTGTGTGTGCGAATGTTCCTATGAATATCTAAAAAAAAAACATGGCCAAAAAAGTCAGGTCATTGGTTGAGTGTGTGGGCGACTAATGGCCCCGGAGTAACCAAAAAATGAGCTGAACGCGTATCAAGGCCGTATATAAATACTTTTGCACAGATATGTCGGTAAAAGTGTACAAATGCGCTTTTAATGGCCAAGGATTCGAAAATGCCTGCAATCAAATGAGTGTCCTTAGCAGGATGCTTGACAAAATGCTGGCTGATTGCTTTTTTACCGCCCCAGTCCCAAGAACTGATGGAAATTCCAGTCAAGCGCAATGAAGATTGATGGATTTTCAGTATTTGTCGAGGCCCTCCTAAAACTCCTTTTCCCCTGCGAAGCTAATAAGTCGCAAAAATATTTGGTAAACGGCAATGGCACGTGCTCGCCTCGAAAAGTCTAACAAATTTACATTTAATATGACAAGTCGGCGTTGACGTGCTCGGAAACTTTTCTATCCCCATATCCTTATAACCAAACCCTTGCCTTTGAGTTTACCTTGCAGCATGTGTTTGGAATATGATTTCACGCTGCCAAAAGCACTCGACACTCAACTAAATTAGTGATATCAATGGACACGCATTAAATCGGGGAAAAGAAAAGGATGAGCTATTGGAAGCCATTAGTGAGAATCGACGACTGACCAGCAGCTGCGGCTCATATGACACCTCGAACCACATAGCCATACTACCATATAGTGTGTATTGAGTTGACTGACATATTGACACACTCGCACAAAGGGCAAATCCAATTCCAGCACAAGCCGAGCTGCTCAAACCTCGACTGCCGCCCGTGGCCGCATTGTGGTCGTTGCTGTAAAGCATTTTATAGGCAAATCGATTTTTGTCTAAAGTGCCACAAACACGCACATCGCCAGCAGGATAACAATAACAGGGACATTCGCAACAACAGCAGATGAAAAGCTGAGGCAGGGAAAATAACAATAACGCTGTGAGTGTGTTAGTTGAACGACTGACACTCTGACCACTCCAAAAAATGCAACGATAATCATGTTTCCCATCAAAATAATCTACTATGTCGTACATTAATTTAGAGTTATTAAATTCGCTTTTAAGATCAAAGCCTGAATTCAGTTATTGATCAAGATTGATAGCCTTAAAAACGAGACTGGAATTTAGTACTAATTAACAGGGTAGGAGTTAACTTTCATAAAATGTCGTAATAAAAATGAGGTATTTTGGAAAGGAAAACACATTTGCTGCGGAAAACTCGGTTAACGTGAAGCTCGGGCTATCTACTCGGTTTCATCTTTGCTTTAAACTCGAAGTTTGCTCCTTCCCGCCGCCTTCCCATCAGGCATCTTGTTTAGGCAAATTAATGAGACTCATTTGCAGATTGATGTGCTGCAATTATGCGCCCCGACCAAGTAGCATAAAGCACTTAACGCACTGATTCTGATTAAGTGAGCGCAAACACGAGAAGCAAAAGGAGTCTGCTTTAAGGTCCTGAAGCAGGCTTTAAAAGCAATCAGCGATGGACAGACAAAGAGGTAGACCGACTACCAACTATCTATCAATGCGGTCAGCTGGGTGTCAATCAAGGCAAATGCCAATGCCAATGCCACGAGGCGGTGAAAACCAGACAAGCCCCCCTACGCATTTCCCAGGACCCCTCGTCCCTTTGTGGCCTCGGCTTTTCTTTTCTTTTTCCTCGCTTTAATGATCGCTTTGACAATGCCTTCAAGTGCGAGGACGACGACAAACGATGTGGCCCATCTGAGGAATGAGAACTGGGTACTGGGGATGGAGGACTGTGGCCCCGGGCTGAGGCCACAGGGCATGGGACAGAGGACAAGGGACTGAGGACACTAGGCATGGGACTCGAGACCCCGTCTTTGTCTTGGCGCCTCAAGTGCCGGATAATGAGTTTGATTCTCGCTGCAGCGATTGCCCAAGGCACTGCGACTACAAATAGGACTACGACTGCGACTACGACTGTGGCTGCCAACTAACTGCAATGTAATTAAAGTCATGTCAATGCCGACCCCATTGACAGCCATTTAAATTGAAGGACCAACAGTGCACCAAGAAAAATTTACAAGATAACGCCAATATATATTTGAAAAAAAATGCTTTCAAGAATAAAAAGTCTTCAGCAATCTCTAAAACTTAATCAAAGTGATTAAAGGTTAACCACTACGTATGATCTTTAGATTATAACCAACGCGTTTTACAAGACACTTTTATATTAAACTTTTAAATATTAAATTTATGAACTATGTTCATACTGAAGAGTGATTAAATTTATGAACTATGTTCATACTGAAGAGTGATTTATTTTCTATTATTGCGATATTGATAATTATTGCTATTATTATTAATTGTGCGATAAATCAGCCCAAAGCTTCGAAACAAATACAGATTATTATTTGCTGAAATACCTTTAATCTGTAAAAGTAATTTGTAATTTGATGCTCCAATTGAATAACATAAATTGTGCAGTGTTAAATTTAAACCAAAACCAATTGTAAGTGTGGTATCGTTTAACAAAACAATTTGTAGGCATTAATTTAGGTCAATGTATTTAAATCGAAAAGATTTTTTCTTTTTTTTTAAAGAAGCTGATTTATAATACAAAATTAGATGTATTGATTTTTTTTTTAATTTTTACGGCGTCTTCTGACATCAAAGCTAATTTTATGCTGCCAGTGTGCTACGAACGTTGCCATTGTTACCTTTTCCTTTACAGCAGACCCTTCTAATGAGAAAAGTTCGCAATGTTTCGTTTGTTTTTTCTTGGCCATAATTAAAGGGTTGTCTGGCCAGGCTGCCGACACCCGATGCGATTCGCCCCTTGACTGCCTCAATTCATTAGCAATCTGTAAACGTGGCCAATACAAATGGCAAGTGACTTGCGGTTCAGCAATCCAAAATCATAAATCACGGCCAATTAGAAGGGGACTACTCCGTTAGTCTATGACTTCGGTCTTAGCAGCAAACTAAAACACACACAGGAGCAGCCATGTAGCAATATCAATAACTTAATTAAGATAAATGCGAATCGTATATACCATATAGCCAGTAGTCACACTAACGCTCCCATAAACAAACTCACCCACACAAAAACGGCGCGTTTCGGGGCGTTGATTTCCGCTAACTGTGCACTTAGAGAAAAATTATGCCATATGTAGCTGAAAAGGCTTGAATTAAATTTCTTTAAAATCAACTACAATTTTAACTGGCTGTTTACACCTCAAAGAAATTAGTTCAACTTCTATTTTTATATGCACATTGTCATTCGGTTATTACAATTCTAGAGTAGTTATCTCAATTGCCAATAAATTCTAGGAGTGTACATTTAAGCTGCACTTGTAGGTTCGACCTCCTGGATATCTGAGCCTGGGAAATCCGTGTACGCATTAATGCGATGCGTGTCCTGCTTGTTTATGCGCCGCCAACAACAAACAGCCTCAATTAATTTATGTATATCTCACTCTGCTTGTGTGGGCGGGGCCACGCCCATCGAGTGAATGTCCATGTCCGATGTGAAAAATGGATAATTAGTTAATTGCGGTACGTGGCAGACAAATGTGGGGTGGTTTATGTATTTTAGTTATTAATTAAGTGCGTGGCTGTTAATCTGTTTGTGCAGTCACACGACCTTGGAATGAAATTTCGGGTAATACGAGAACATATAGAGCAGTGAAATAGTCTAGAGAGTGATGTGGTTTCTTATTACCCCCTTTTAATTGGCGTTTGCTAATGAGTTTTGTGTAACTGTTGACTTGGCACTCGACCGCTACTTACTTGATCTTCTCCCATATTTCCTCGCCAAAATGCTTCAGCACCAGCAGCTCCAAAGCGTAGTTAACGAAGCCATACTGCGATTTAAGAGAAAACAGTAACCGATTAGTATTTATGTTTATGGCTGCTCTTAAACAAACATCAATATTTTCAGTCTAGTGTCTGTATCTGGTCCCAACGATCCACTTTCTGATTCGGACTCTAGCGAATCGTAAAAATGGAAGCTCTTTGATTTTAATTGCATTCCCAGATGGGACACAAGCTTTGATTCGAGTCGATAAATTTGAAATATGCGAAATCAATAGCGATTGCGCATTTTCATTTCGTTTTAAATGTATCCGAAAAGCAATCAATTTGATTTGTTGTGCGAAATGAAACCCCTCGAAGGAGGAAAGAGGAGCAGCAGACATACCTCTGCTATCCAGATACGCAGCACAATCAATCGCTTCCGCCGGAAGTAATACTAAACAAGCAAAATACTTGAAATATATTTACATACATTACGCATACGTCTAGTTGGCCACACATGAGGCTTCGTCCTCGGGCCGCCAGTGTGTTTTTCTGTTTCTGTTTTTGTTTGTGTCTGTTGCTTTTCGTTTTTTTTTAGCTCCCTGCGTTTTGTGCTTTTCTGCTCGGTTGTCTGATGAAGATGTATCTAACCGATATTTGATGTTTATTGCCTTTGCTGGGTGCATTGAAATGTTGTGGCATCGAAACGGGAACGGAGTTGCAAATGCCACCCAGCGGTATAAACAAAGTGGAATGGCAAATAAGGAGCTTCGGAATGCTGTGGGAATCGCTATCATTAGATCAACATTACCATGCATATGTCAACTTGATGACTTTGTCAAGCAGGTGTCTTTATTAAATCAGAAAACCTGATTTAGATAACTTGAAATGTTACACTTTAACATCTAGCCTTTTTCCTTTACATTTCCACATTATTTCTTCCCAAACTAATTAAATTTTCAATTTAGAATTAAAAAAAAAAATTTTAAAATTTAAAATTAAAATTAAAATTAAACTTACCATTTTGCTGCTCTTTTCGTTTTCGATTTTCGCCTAATTGAAACGCTCTGCTTGCGTATTTAATTCACTTTCACAACGAATATGTTCAAACGCATATCACAACTGAAATTGGACACCAGAACGCAATATTGATATTGCAATTTATTTCATTTTCGCGATTTGTCTGTCCCGCCTGGATTTTTTCACTGCTCCCCTGGGAGTGCGACAATGAAAATGTAATAAATTATATTTGTTTACCCAATTGATATGACTGCTATGATAAACGCAAAAAGTGTAATGAAAATTACAATGTAAACATTGTGGTCTGTGAAATTATGAGCGGAGCATGTGGTGAATGGGAAATATATATGAGCAATGTGTCGGCATACGAATGCGTTGGAGTGTTATTATTACACCGCAGCCATTTATGAATATTTTATGCGATACCAAATCGGCTTTGCTTTTGCCATAGTTTATTATTCCTCACACTCTAGTTTGTCGGCCTGAAATTTTGAGGCACGCCGTAAACGCCTACGTTAATCAAAAATTTAAATGAGCGGAAAAAGAAAAGTCAGGCCAAGTGGCCCCGAACATTTCCCAAAACTTGGCAGCAACAACTTCTGGGGCCATTTCATCTGCATTTTTGTGCGGTATATACGTGCTGTTTGTTGCATGCCACATGCAACACGTGCGGAAGCCAAAGGCACAACACACCGATACACCAATAGAAAAGCACCCAAGCAACCCGCAGCTCAGCCATCAACTGGGTCACAATTTAAACGAGGAAAATGGTGGCTTGAAAATCGCTCAGCCGAATTCTTAAATGCCCTAGAAAATGAGCGCCCCTAGTTACCAGTAACATTCTTTACTAATTGGATATTTCTTAAAGCTAAGTATAATATAAGTATAAGTGTAATAATATATATAATATACATATATAAAAATGCCATCTCGACACATAAATAAATCAAATGGTAAAAAACTTTCTTTAAAACTTTGTATCTAATCAAAAACTATCACACAAGAATCCAAAGCTGCATTTAAAATCCATTTGAAAAAAATTATAAAAATCAAAAAATAAGTCAAAATTGGGATATTATTATTTTGAATCGTTTTGAGAAATTCTGCGAATAGACCCTGAACAAACACAGCGTATCAGCTGAAACGACAGGTTGGCTTTTCAGAAACCAGGCTACAAAGGGTGCATACGGCTGGTTAATTACACAAAAGTCAGGTAAAAACAGGTAACACACACACACTTTTGGCCAAGAGTGTGTGCGAGCGAAACTCGAAATTTATGCGCCACGACGAGTGCAGGCAATTAAGGCATTGCGAACGTTGAGTTTTCACGGAGTTCGGGAGTTGGGGAGTTTGGGAGTCGCCTAGGAAAGGGAATCGCCTTTGGGGGCAGGAATGGCATAAACGAGTGGAGCACAAAATGGCAGCCCTGGCCGGAAAAGTTACCTTCAATTGAAAAGAGAAAACTTGGCCTGCAAGGCAATGATAAGTTACAGGGGCGAAAGGGAAGGGCACAGAGCGTTCGTCGAGCCGTAAGGGATTTCCACCTGCCAGCCCAGCCGACAATGCTTTAAATACTTTAAACAAGCCAGCCAGCGAGTGGAGAAGAATATCGATTTTCGTCCATCTTGGCAGACATTTTTGTAGCCCATTAGGAGTCTCGTTAAGTCGGCTCTTCATAAGACATATTAACATAAATTTCGTATGTACATGCCTGTTGTTTATTTGGCCAAATGTGTGTCATTGTTTGACTTTTCCAACCCCCATGTGTTTGCTGGTTGCGATTACCCAAATAGAGAATATTAATCAGGATGCCAGCTATGGTATACCTATTTGCGAATGACCTCGGGGAACCTGACATCCTTCCAATTGAGCGAATTTTAATTACGTGCAACATTTGGCATTTTGATATCGGTAAGGAACTGTCAACAGAAGGTCCTTGTGCTATTTTCGTGCCCGTCGAGAGACAAGAGTGTAAATACGATTCGGAGGGCTTTGCCATTTGTTTGGAAAGGTTTTCGGCGGGCCAAAGTTCCTTCGATGGGGCCATTTGTCTCTGCTATTTGGCGATGACGAGCACGCCATTTGATAATTGCGACAAAATGACGCCGATGCGAAAGTAAAAACAAAATGATATTTACTCGGCCCAGTTGAAAAGTCCCCCTTTTCTTTCCCCCGGAGGCCTGTCGTTCTGCCTGTCAATTTAGCGCTAAACTGACAATAACTGAGTTAATGATGAGCCTGCCATTAGGCCAGGGCACAAAATGAGGCACAGTGCACACAACATGGCCACAGGACGGCCGCAGGATGTGGATGCCGTGTCCTCAACAAAGTTGAGTTTATACAGTGAAAGAATAATATTGAATTGGTTTTTAAAAACACATTAAACATATTCAAAAGGCGATAGAACTTGCCGATTTTCTAGGCGAAATTGTTGGAAGAGTAAATACAATTTTTAACTACTTTCGGTTCATTTTTTATGACTTCTTTGACTTGTAATTTTAGACTGGAGAAAATATTTTCACTGATTATTTGCTGCTCTTTTTCTGCAGTGTGCCTTTTGGGTAAAGGGAACTTTGCGGAAAATGTGGCAAAGCAATTGTACATTCAACTCTGTGTCCGCCCGGGCATTTATCAAATATAATGGACATTCACTATCGTCCGACCAACTAAAACAACTGTCAGCAAATTGCCGTGGGCACGCAAAGCTAAATGTCTAATAAAGTTTGACATATTGGGGCAAATATTTCTATTTGGCAACTTTTGCACGAGAGTCGCAGCACCAAATAAATTATGGACAACGGCGAGGACAATGATAGCGTGAAATATCTGCCCGGGAAACCGAAATAAATTAGAGCGCTCAGAAGTATGCTTTAATATCCAGGGCCAAGTGGAGCGCCAGTGTGTGTGTGTGTGTGGCACATACGAGGCTCACAAAAAACAAAGCATGTGTGTGCGGGTGGATAATTTACATTTGTTTGAGGCGCGGGATTCTTTTTATTGGGCGATTCCCCTGGCTTTTGTTTATTCGCAACTTGTGATTTATCTCTGTGTTTGTTTCGTTTTTTGTGTTTTTTCGTTTTTTAGCCCCGTGTCTCAGTCCGGGTTTCGCTTTCACTCTCGCGATAACTTTCCACTTTCACTGGCTGTTTGCTGTGATAAGGAATGGGAAACGCGCGCGCGACTTTTCCCCAAGAGTTTTCCCAGTCCGCTAGGGTTTTTCCGCCGCACTCTGTCCGCCGGAGTGAACAACTCGCCTGAATCAGCCGTCGACGACTGAGCGCTTCCTGCCGAAGGAGCGCCGTATTAAAGGCGGCTCGCAGGACACTTGTCCGCTTTTCCTTTGTCGGCTGCGAATTGCCTGGCCCACTCAGCTGTTTGTTGTTGCTGGTCGTCGGGAAAGCGAGCCAGTCGGAAAAGCTTTCGGTGGGGAAAGCTCGCTCTCGCGCCCTGTCTCGCTCTAGCAGATGCTGCTGCCTACCGGTAGATGGCGGCTACCCGGTTTTAAATGATAACATATTAACTAGCTAAACTCAAGCATTTAACAAGATTTAGCATTGTTCAAATATATTACTAAAATGTATTCGACTCAAGAAAAATTTACTTAAAGAGAGGCTTACATATTTCCGCGTTATAAGTTACAAGTGCCCATTATATTATCATTAATATGAATTAAACTGTATTAACTTTAATCACAAAGTTAAAAATAATAAAAATAACAATTAAATTCTCATAACAACTAGCAAAAACTATTGCAAGGTTTCAAAATATTTAGAACAAATTTACAGCTCAGCTGTAATTCCATTTATGTAGTTTCTATCAGTTAGATGGGGGTTGAATCATCCATTAAATTTTCCCCTGCAAGTGTTTACTTTGCATTCGCCAACACTCCTACTTCCGTTTCCTGCGTTATTTATTGCCGGTTTTATTTACTTTCCTGCTGATTTTTGTCAAACCCACCGCCTCAGTCAATGCCTTACGCATAATTTACCTACGACAATAGATTTTCGGGTAGCTCCAGTCAAGCAGATGAACATTTCAGCGTTCCAGAAGCGGCAAATAAATTAGATCCACTTGCATTGCAAACAGAAGTCCTCGTACAGTACAGTAATTGAAATTGAATGGGTGGGCGGACGGGAGGGTGGGTGTGTGGGTGGCAAGGTCGCCGCGCCAATGGGGCGCACTGGGGCGTGGCTAAACAAGCACCTGTTAGCGACAAAAGCAAGCCTCCTCAGTGAACCCACCACGCCAACAGCTGTGGAGTGCATCAATCGGATATTCATGTGCGCTCAAACGCTGCATAAATTAATTACTCTCCGCAAACATAATTAAACGCATTGTCCAAGTTTTAATTGTGGTGGCTTTTGGCGCTATTTTATTCGCTACCGAGCTGCACAAAACGCACAAAGGTCGAAAGAGCATTCGGCAACAAAAACAGAGCCTCTGTCCTGCTGACAGTACATCGCTGCCGGTGACATTGAAGGAGGAGTTGGCAGGACGAAAGGGGGCATTTCCGCCTGCAGACTGTCAAAGTCATTGTCAGTCGGCCGGGGGATATGGCTCTTCACAAATGCAAAAACTGTGCGGGATGCCCTGCGTTGGCTTTCTATCTATAAAAAGGGAGGTTTAACTTGGCACACCAAGGACTTAAATACCCTTAGAGAACAACACTTTTATTTATTATTATTCTAAAATATGATAACATTTTGTGGCTTTAAATAATTTGTAAATATATTTGAAAGTCTGACAGGATTATCTGTTTACCAAAAATCCCCAAAAATTGGTACCCATTTAGCAATTTACCAAACACATTTATGTGAAAATATTTAAGGCAGATAAAAAGCTATGATCACAATTATTGCAGGTTTTGATCACTTTTCTGCATGGGATATTTAACATAATTATATTACATACTTTATGACTAAGTGTATTTTTCTTTTCGTTTAATTTGAAAAACGTTGCTAAATCGAACACCCATGATAGTAGAGTAGGGCAGCTAACAAATTAAATGGGGCCTGCTCTGGGCACTTGAAGTCGTTACAAGTCATCGTTTTGATCCAGTTTCAGTTGGGTGGGCGGCGAAGGAGTTGCGAATGGCCGCGAAGGAAAAGAAGCCAACTCATTGAGAGGTCCTGCCAACAATTGTCCTGGGGAAATGGAGCGTGTTCGCTGCAGAAGGAAAACTGTGAGTGCCCCTGGTCTCTAATCAAGTTCGCTGCCAGAAGATGACTATCTGCCTGGCATTTAATTAAGAGGCCGGGGCCGAAGAAGGGTTACCAAACTTTTCGGGCATCTCAATTGCTGCACACACACATACCAGCTCCAAAGTCTCACGAAAATATTCCATTCTGTTTGTGTTTTTTGGGGCGGTGCCCAGAGGGCGTAACTAGCGCATTGAGACAAAGGACAAGTGCATCAGGATAATCGCATCACACTTGAGTAAATAAATTCCTGAAGTGGAACCAACTTTGCCAGAGCACTCCGCACAGCCGAAACATGTTGCTGGGCCATCTTCCATGACAATGAAAAAAAGGACCCTCTCCTTCGTCCTGTGTCTTTTTGTGCCGCTCTACGTGCCAGTGATGGTATTGCTTCTGGGCATAATCAAAAAGAGGGGAAAATGTTGCTATGGAAATAAATATTTCTGCGTTGCTCTCCTCAATGTAGGTCAATCGACCTACTTAAAAATATATATTTATTACTTAAAATAAGTATCTAATTACAAGCTGTACTATATATAATATATTTATACCGCTAAGCGTATAGACCTGTTTATATTTTTAGCTACTATTATATTGTATTATTTTATACTATAATATTATTAATTATTAACATTCATTTGCAACAGAAAAGTTAAAGTTCGTGAAACATTGTTAAGTTAACAGACTATAATGAGAAAACAAAAACAACGTAAGCTCAAAACAGTCATTCAGAGCTAAAAAATAATAATTATAAAAGCACCAGAAACAATTTATTTTTACTCCTACAAGCACGTTTGTTTATAATTACCTAGTAGTTATAATTGTCGGCATGCATCAGTTTCTATTTTACACATCTATTACGAAATTCCCAGCACACGCTTATCCAATGGAAATAGTGTTAAATTAAATCGCCTTGAGGACTGCACATCTGCAACGATAATAAGTGAGTAAAGTAAATAATATCCTTGCAATGTCAGGAATTTTCTCAATTGTTGCAGCCTTTACTTGCATCAATTATAATTGAATATAAATACTGCAATTTGGCCACAGAGACTTTATTGATTTCCAAGAATTGTACAACGAGTGCCAGGGGCCACAGTCCACAAACAACATCCTTCTCATTACCCTGTTTATCCTTTTGGACAGATGCAGTAGGGTTATTCAGAATGATTGAGTGCCAGATTCATTGAAAAGTGCACTGAATAGCTATTATTACTTATGAATCATAAATTAACTACCATAAATTACATAAATAGTTTTCTTATCAACTTTAAATACCATCGAATATAAAAAGTGGGGAATGCAGCAATTCATCAACAACTGGTTGTGCTTCATCTTCTGCCGCGATTGACAGATGATGTCTAAAGTGTAAAGTCTGGCTTTTATATTGTCGGAAAATATTCAGACTTATTTCTACGAGCGCGCGCGAGCTCTTCAAACTTGAGTGGCTATTCAGAAAGTGAAAAAATATCAAGTGATCATCGGCGATGCTGGTGGCAGCTGTTGAAGTAGCGCATCTAATTATTCACGCGGTTAATTCTATTGCCACCTATCGACACATTTGATCTTATAAGCTGTGGATTTATGAGGAGAGCACTGGCAAAAATGACTTAACTATTCTAATTGTCAATAAAGATTTTGCAAAGATCCCCTATTCGTTTGGAAACCTGTAAAAACCTATTAAAGTGTGTGTTTTGAATGGCATATCTTATCTCTGAATATGTAAATGATGGCACTCAGTCTTTCACACCTTGCAAAAAGGTATTCCATTTTTTCGAAAAAGTGGAATATCATTGCATGATTATATTTTTATCTTAGTGCAAATATTTGAATGTACCTTATAAAGAGGGGTGGGTGAATTCTCAAAAGGCTGCTTATCAAAGTTGTTGACATCCCACAGCTACCGATCGATGCATGCATATACTTATGGCTGCTCCCAACTGAGAGTTCGTGCCTAGAGCTCAAACGTTAGTTGCTTTCACTCTTTATTTATCAGAGAGAACAATAAGGTAGTTTAAAGGCCGAAACCTTTACTACCCTAAAGATTGTGAATGAAATTCAGACGATGATCATTACTCCTGTGGTCAGAAAAAGTAGTAGAGAGCAAAACCTTATCAGTTTTTAGAGAAACCCAATTTAATGATAAACTTGTTATCTTGTACAAATACGTTAATTACCCTTTATCTTTTTATCTGTATTATTTGTATTTTTTTAATTAGGTTCTACTCCCTTGGGAAAATATGAATGCCAAAACACTCTTCATTCTTGTGGATATTACAGATTTAGTGATTACCAAACATTTTTGTAATAACATTTAGATAATAAAATAAATGTTTATTGCGGTATAAGCAGTTCCTAAATCTGTACTATCCAAAAAAGTTAACAAATAAAGTCGATTGCTTGCTTTATGTAGTATTCTAATAGATTTAAAATATATGTGTAGAAGCCATAAATTTTTATTGAACAAGAAGAACACCATTCAACCTTTGAAGAGGCTGGAATTCAGACCACCGACTGGATGATCCACCAGCCGACCTTGGTCTTGGCCCGAACTGGACCAGCAAACCAAGTTCCCAGAAAGAACCATTCTCGCAGGCCCTATTTTTCAGGGTATGTGGAGAGGAAAACCCGTTCTATCGCCACTCGCACTTTATCGCTCCCTCGTCAGTCGATCGCGAAGCTCTGGGAGTGCGACAACGCAGCCTGCGCTTGAATTAACCAAATTAAAATTCAGTACTATGCCGCTGTTTCTCTGGTGGATTGCTGGCTATATAATACTCGTATCGGGGAGTACGGACTCCCCCCTTTACACACTGGACCAGGGGAATGTGGGCAGGTGCTTGGACTACTGCCACCTGAAGAACATCCGATTCCTCCTCTGCGTCGATGCAGATGGTCAGCTGTCCCACAATCCCTATAAGGACTGCAATCGGGGATTCTGCAGGGCCGAAGACTTCGAACTTGAGTACGAAACGAGTGATGGCAAGGAAACTCGGACCAATCGCGTGGAGAAAACGAGAGTTGGTCAGAGAGCCCATCTTAGAGATTTGTGCCTGAATGAAAGGGGCATTCCCATCAGACGCAGGTGCCAAATTCGAAGTGGCAATAGAGTGTGGCAAAGCCTAGATCACATAACGTGCAGATCGGCGCCTGAACTCAGCACAAGTATTAACCTTTTGGCTGTGAACAGTCCGCCGGATATGATCAGCCAACTGAGTAATCTCCTCACTCAATCGGAGGAAAAACTGGCCGCCGCTGATGTGTTTAGTATTTCGGAGATATTTGACTCACTCGTTAGGAAACGCGAAAGAAATGCTGAGGTCGTCGGGGACCTAATGAAGATTTGCCAGAAGGTGATGTCCACCGATGACGAGAGCCTTCGAATTTCAGCCGATGTCAATGCCACAAACTCCCTTCTAAGCAACTTCGAAGATTATCTGGATTCATTGAGTGCGAAAATATTGCAGCAAAACAGCAGCACGTTTAACAGCAGCTTAGAGTTTAATTTCCAGCCATTTTTTGACTTGGGAGTTGTGGTTCTCAAGACAAACGAGCTGAGTGTATTTTTTGTGGATCCAGACGTGGCCAATGTTACCGGAATTGCCATCTTTTCCGATGGGCTTACATCGGATTTTAAGAGGCTTCATTCAACCGATAACGTGGATGATATAAGGGGAAAAGACAATCTGGAGACTGCAGCATTTCTGCCTGAAAAACTGTGGAGGAAACTAAAGAAAAAGGGAGCCACTTACCTAGTCTTTAAGGTATACACTCGAGATGCCCTTTTTGTGGAAACTGAAGAGGAACTCAAACGGCGACCTACTAGTAATGTTATCTCCATAACCATACCAGGATTGGAAGGTGAGTGCTCTGGCCGGGAATTTTTTTTGCGGTGTAGATAAACAATAATATAACCATTATAAACAATATTTATTTGCCTGTTTTTATTTTCTTAAACACCTTTTTTGTTAGGAATAATTGTTACATTTGGACGTATTGCTCGACTTTAAAGCTAAACAAAATAATTATATTATTGCTGGCTATATTTCGTTTTAAAGTTGTAGAAAGTATAAAACTATTAAAACAGGTTTATCCAAACAAAACAAAATATAAGTTATATAATGATTCTGACATTGAAATAAATAAGTGGGGGTTTTAAATTTTTATTTCATTGATTATTGTACTTTTCTTTGCACTCATCAAAGAAGTTTTTTGACCTTTAAATACTAATATCCCTTAGATCGCAATCTCCCCGAGAAGTTGCCGTTTTTCCTGCGCAATGGAAATGCAAACCGAACTCAATCCGAAGGTGGATGTGGCTATTGGAACTACGAGACTTGGCTGAGTGATGGCATTTCCACCTCTGGCAGTGATGGATTGGATAACTCTTCGAATCCGGTCATCCTCTGTCATGCTGAACACCTCACCCAGTTCACCTTTCTACTGGGAGTTAGTAAAATGCAGACAGGACTAGACACCTACGAAGATGACCGCACTCTGGACATAATCACCAATGTGGGATTGAGCCTATCGCTCCTGGGACTCTTTTTCATTTTCCTGACTGCAGCAGTTTTTAAGAGCTTCAGGATGTTGGCTTCCACAAAAATACTACTTAACTTGTGCGCTGCCCTGGGTCTTCAGTTGCTGTTCTTCCTCATATTAAGTCAAAGTCAATTACTGGAGCAGCTGGATCAAACAAATTCGGATCGTTGCACGCTAGTTGGAGCCGTGATGCAGTACTTACTCCTAGTTGTCTTCAGCTGGATGTTTATTATAGGCTTCCTACAGTATCAAAGATATGTCAGGGTCATCGGGGTTAATCACCCAAGACATTACATATTGATATCAGCAGTAGTGGCCTGGACATTGCCACTGATACCCACATTGTTGGTGGTTTTTTTAAAGCCCGATTGCTACAGACCCAGCAACACCACCCTGGATACTCCCATCCTGTGTTATCCTTCTGGATATGGCTTGAGTCTGGGAGTAGTCCTGCCCATTGGACTGATTACAGTGGCCAATGCCCTGATGGTTGGCTATATCACCTGGAGTGTCTACAAGACTCTGTTCACTCGGAATCTAATCTTAAAACAATTGGGTCTCTTCGTTCTACTCTTCTTTCTTTTGGGAATCACTTGGATTTTCGGGCTGTGTACCTATTTCGATTTTGGCAGGATCTTCGCCTACCTCTTCTGCCTCACAGCCACACTACAGGGCTTCGTTTTATTCCTTTACTTTATAGTCTTCAACAAGGACAATCAGCGGGCCTGGTTGGGACTCTGTTGCAATTTGCGCAAGAAGGGCGACCAAGAAACTATCGAAATGCCCACGGATTCGATTTTAAAACGCTCAAGCCAGTCATCAACTCACAGTACCAGTAACTAAGTGTCTAGTTAGGTAAAAAAATAGTTAGTTTTGACGAATATATGTATAAGAATCCACTTAGAAAAATCCATTTATTAATTATTTGTAATTAATTATAAATTATAATGGGAATTATTGAGCTGCAAGTGCTCAAATAATTCTCTGTTGAGATGTACTTAAACTGTTTAAGTAGATGCAACTTAGTGAATTAAATGAAATATATTATCTAAACTGCATTTTCTATTCAATTCTGAAATACCACATTCAGCACAGAGGCAAACTAATTTGTTTAGCCACATATCTCTGATTTCCATTACAAACATTATAAACCACTTTCATGCAAGGAGGACATTGCTGTGCTGCAAATGCCATTATGTTTGCTGCTGGATTATACGATCTACGATATCTTATCTCTATATCTCCATGGCAACCGGTTATAATGGCTTTCGTGTAGAACATGAAAAGTAATTTAGAGGTTAGTCATCAAAATAATGATTCACCAACCAAGCGAGAATATTAAATTCTGAATATAAAAAAAGGAAATTAAATTATAGATTCAATACATAAAATGGAAAACTTTCAAATTTTACCAACCCATTTTGATATAAAATAAATTGTAAAATCAAGATTTAGTATAAACATTAAATCAGTAAAAAATCAAGCTTTGAACTTTACTAAATTTAGTTAGTTAAAGACTAAACCTGAACTTGTACAGCTTTAAGCTTCAGCTTCGAACTTACCGATTAAAAGCGAACCGGTTTCATAGACAGCTTTTAACCGTTTGGGCCAAGTTGTTCCCCGCTCACTTCAAATTTATGACTTCTAATTTATGCAAATGAGATGACAACTTAGTTTTTGGTGAATGTATTTCATAGATTACGACGGCATACAGGTCGGCTTAATTTCGGTTTTATTGGATGCGATAAGGTCGTAAGTCTTAGTCACGGACCCCGGGATGTGGTGACTTAATTTAGATTAGCGAACTGAACTGCCAACGTGGGCCTTAACATAAACAACTAAAGTATTGCTAAACTAGAAAACTAGAGGTTAGAACCAGTAAGCTTAAAGCCAATTAGCCAACTACTGGTTGTCTGGGCAGTCGGCATTCCGCCGGAACTTGTTTTTCAGATCAACACAAGCCGCCGCCCGCCATTTCAGCGCTTTATCACCAGCAACCGCAGCGGAATGTAAGAGCTTCCGGGTACCACATCCTTGCCCTCGGGCAGGAACTTATGCGCGTAGTCCTTCGGCGTGGGTGTGTTCGGCGCCAAGGCGTATTCGAGTAGGTTTTCCGAGGCCGAACCGGAAATGGTGGGCGTGCGCACCACCCACAATTGCATCGCCTGCTGCTTCTTCTCCGCCGGCACTTCCGCTTTTCCCAGTTGAACGTTGGCGCGGCGGGAGAAGTGCTCTTGATCCGCCTGCTGGAACCGCTCCAGGTGACCTTGGATAATCCGGCGCAGCTGGGCCATCGTGCTGGGCGGGGGCGCGGCGTAGACGTAGGCCTTCGCCTGTGGGCGTGGCAGATAATCCCGACCAACGGTGGCAGCACTAGCCACCGCCATAAGGGTTAACAGCTGCAAGACAAATTACACCCAATTAATAACTTTTTGAACAAGCAAACAACGGTGTGCAAAAGTATTCAACCTTTAAAATAGTAAGTGGTGTGCGGTTTTAGGCGCCAGCCTTGGCGTTAAACAAATTACCTTTGGAGTTAAAGTTAAAGTTAAGTTAAACTTTTAAGATGCAGAGTTATACAACCACAATTCGTTAGGAATTGTAAAACTGGTAGTTTGTTTAAATATACAAAAATGGTTTCATTTTACGTAAAAACTATAATAAAGCGTTTCGATTTTCAATATTATTTCTATGTGATTATTAATTTGAATATAGAAGGATAGACAATCATATCCTTCTATATTCAAATTAAAAATTCAAAAATCTTTATAAAATCATTGAATACTCTCAAAAAACGAGAATGAAAAAACTCTGATAAATCTTAGCTGACACTTTGAACAATAGTTTACCGTATACATAAGTTGTATATCCATTAACTAGCGATTTCAGCTGCCAACTCACCGAAAAACACGTCCTATACATATTCCTTGAGTTCGTATCCAACACGTTTTTTCCGGGGGCAGTTCCCACTCTAAATTTCCGACCGATCTCCAGTTAACTCAGCAGCAAACTGAAGTGATCTGAGCTTCTGCTCCGCCGACTCGTTTCAAGTTCAGGGTCTCAACTCATGCTTTTACATAAATTTCTACCGAGCAGACAGCGAAGCCAGTCGCAGACATTCTCCATTCTCCGATCTCCATTCTCTATTTTGTGTGAAATCTAATTCTGTTTTTCGAGGCACTGGCACGTGATTTATGCATTTGGCAATCCAGTTGGATCGATCACGAGGTGCTGCCAAATCTGGCCAAACGAGGGGACCCAACCCCTTGGAGATGCCATCGCATCTTTGCCAAAGATCCCATAGATAGATTTGTGGGACGTGTTTTTGGGCTCAGACTTTGAGGCGACTTTGCGGCTGTTCACGCCATTATAATTATGCAAAATAGGTTTGATTCGGCTGCATAAATCAACTTTATGAGTGCTCACTTTACATGGGGTCGGGTCTTCACTCGGTCATTAGCATAATGGTTTCTATAAAGAAATATAAGCGTGTCCAGAGCTTCCTTTGTAGTGCGCTCAAAACAGCAATCGATGTATTTATATTGATTTTTAATCGTCGCCTCTTTATGCCTGACAATGCGCATTAAAAGCGTATCAAAGATCGTTTGTCTTGTCATTCGATACACCAAGAGATGTCTCTTTCCAATATGGTTTTTGATCCATAGATGGACAGTCAACAACAATACAAGCCATAATGCGATTCATATGCTAACTCACAAAATTGTGTTCATGCAATAGTTGTTCGACCTGATGCTGATCGATTGAGATGTTGAAATGGCCGATCATCAATCGACTGGGCAGATTAACATATATTCACCTGGCCAATTGGTAAATGATCTTTGAACATTTTTATGACTACTCAATTGATTGTAAAATGGTAATTTGAAGAGCAGAATAGGAGCAGCATTTTGATTTAATTTTCTGTTAATAAATTACTTTAGGCAAACTGTTTAAAATGCCATCATAAATTAATGTATTAAATGTCTAGTCATAGATGGTCTATTAGCTTTTAATTTTTCCCATTAATTAAATTAAATTTGATAGATATCAATAGTTTGCGATAGCTGTAAGCTATAACGTTTTTCTGAAAAGCGATTATTGTATTAAGCTATTAATTACAAAACCTTTTATCACTTTTGAAAATAGAGTGCATCACAACAGCTTAACAAGTATACTTTAAGCCATTTCATTATCAGCCATATAAAACTTGATTAGTAATAAACACCCATTAAATTTTTAATCACAACTATAATGAATATGAATGAATCAGACGTTGGCATTACTTCTAAATAAATTTTTAAAGTGCATATACCAAATTAAATGAATGTGTGTTATAGAAATATTTGTTTTTATAGTCAAACATCTGAAAAGCATTCAAAGCTTTTTAAATACCAATAAAATTAAACAATCGCTTCCTTTCAGTTCACCCTTCGCCAAGAACTTGGGGTTGAAATTCGATAGTCAGCGGAACGGAAACGGAAACGCAATTAAAGCTCAACGACTGCGGCTGGCAATCAGCTTGTGGCATTACGTAATTACGAGTTTGCAAAATTACGTAAAATGCAAATATCGACTCGACTGCATTAGCATTTTGATTTATATGCAAACGGGGGCTCATGCATCTCCCCGTCGAGTAGGAGTGCGTGTAATTACTATGTAAATTATTTATGCAATTAATTTAACAAACTCAACTCGGACTGGAGCCACATGTCCATCATGAAATCCATATTGATGAGGGTCTCTTCCGGCTCAGCTCCTCGCACTCGTTCATATTTCATATGCCGTATGTGTTATACAAGGGGCATCATAATCATCATCAGCCATAACCACCCACTCTTTTTACTGCTGATTCGAGTCCAGCTGGCGCTGAGTGCTAAATCCTCTGTCACATACGCTCCACGTTCGGGGATTCGTCTGTCAAAAAATAAACAAAGAAAGAAGGCGGGTCAAAAAAGAGGAAAATGCGGCCCAAATGGTCAGGCCTGAATGCTACGTAATGAGTTTGATGGGCTTTTGAACTAAACCAAATTGCAGACAGGCATTTTATTTTTATTCCGATACCGATTTCGATTTGATGATGATGCGAGGATATGGAAGATGGACTGGGGATGCATGTGGCAGCAAATTGAGTTATGGCCCCTGGTTGCCTCATATTTTATGCATGGCAAGGGCAAGCGAATTGCTTTCCAATCGACTTGGCGCACTCCGCTTAAGCCCTCCATCCCACACTTCGACTTTCCCACTGCCAGGGTGTGTTCTTTTTCCAGTTTTCTGGGTGCGGAGTGTCCAGACAGGACCCATTACCATTACCTAATCACCTATCAGGATCGTAATATGGATCATCGATTTTATACTGCACAAGCACGACATCCTTTGCGTTCTCTCTTGTTTTTTCGGGCTAGGAACATCCAAGGGGTGAATAAACTTTTTGGCCATCGAGAAACTAATTAAGATAGTTTGCCGACTGCAGTCAGTTGGAAAACTGACAGAGAATTTTGTGGGCTGGCGTTTGACATTAATGAAGACGCCACAGAGGCCCAGCGGCATTGGTTTACCTTTGACCTTTAGCCCCCATACATAATTTATGCCTCTTGGTCCGCTCGACAACTCCCTGTTGGCGAATCATTTATCATAACACAGAGCAGTGCCTCAAATTTGCGACTGACAGCCGAGCCTTTCCATTAACCGCAGGAAAAAACGAGGGATTTTGCATTTTTAACAAGTTTATGCGCTTTGTGCAATAATCCCCAATGCCACATACACTTTTCACTGCGCGAAATGAGAATAAATGATGTTTAAAGGGAATGGAAAATAAGTTTAAATGTTTTTTTCTTTAAATTTCATAAAATTGCATAGACAGCTGACTCCAAGAAATTAGTAGCAGTCACTTGATAAAGGGATGCAAGTTTTATATTAAAACTACAAATCATATACTTTTCGAAAGCCATTACTTAATACGTTTTATGAGCTAATGCTATTATTTGCCAACTGATTTGGAATTTGGCCTTTGGATAGATACATAAATATTTCTCAAAACCAAATATTGGTTTTCATTTTGTCAATAATCTAGTATGTAGATACTTTCTTGCTTTGTTTTTGTCACACTGTGACCATATAATTTCTATTACCCATGAATCGTTCACCGAGCATCAATTGAAAGTCATATTCTTCTATATTTTTATATATTGTCAAACGATGGCCCGCCTCTACGATTCCCGCACTACGATCTTTTCACCAGAGGGCCGTCTATACCAGGTGGAATATGCCATGGAGGCAGTTACGCACTCGAGCACCTGTCTGGGTATCCTGGCCAAGGACGGTGTCCTTTTGGCCGCCGAGCGGAGCACCAATAGGCTTCTAGACACCAGCATTCCGGCACCGAAGATCTGCAGGCTGAGTGAGGCCACAGCATGTTGCGCCACGGGCAACACGGCGGATGGAAATGTGCTCACCACCGAACTGCGATTGATTGCCCAGCGATATTTTTTTACCTTTGGCGAGGCTATTCCCTGCGAACAGCTCGTCTCGCAGCTGTGCGATACCAAACAGGCGTATACGCAATATGGGGGCAAGCGGCCCTTTGGCGTGTCCTTTCTCTACATGGGCTGGGACTCGCGCTTCGGATTCCAGCTATACCAATCCGATCCCAGTGGAAACTACAGTAACTGGAAGGCCACCTGCATTGGCCGCAAGTACGGGGCGGCAATGGCGATGCTCCAGCAGGAACTGTTCAACAAAGAGTACGTAGAGCCGAAGCTGGAAGACGCCAAGGATGTGGCCATCAAGGTTTTGGGCATGACCTTGGACACCGGAAAGCTGACCCCCTCCAAAGTGGAAATGGCCACACTTCAGCGTCTTCCCAATGCCACCTTCTACAAAGTTCTGGAGGCAGTTGAGATCCGCAAACTAATCGACAAGCACAACATATTGCAAACGCAGGCCGTTAGACGTATGTTATCTAATCCCTAATTACTTGCTTTTGTAAATGTTATTTATTGTTTCGATTTCTTGAAAACTTAATTTGCGTTCTGAACATCAATAAACCAGTAATTACCATGGGTTAATATTATTTTCAAACTAATTTCCTTATTTTTTTGAACACATCTGTATTATTGGTGAACCAAAAAAAAGTATAAACACAGTGGCAAAGTCATGAGAACTTTTCTCTTTTATTTTTCCTATTTTATGCCCGAATTATTTATAACTTTTTCCATGGCTGTAGTAAAAGCAGAACGGAACTAAATAAACACATTTTGTGTTGCTTGTATTTTTGGTTCAGTGTGCGGTTAAGCCAATAACGATAGAGTTTTATGAAAATTTTGCCATTTCTACTCAATTCCCTAGGGCCGTTTTGATGCGGTGTGGCTTTTAGAGGCTGTTCTGTATTTATATACACATTATGCGGAATATGTAAGTCCCAGGATGCTAGAACTGAACCAAATGAGGGGGGATAGCTGTAACTCCAGTATTCATCTAGACTTCCCTAAAAGTTAATAGTTTGCCGAGAGCTCCTGTATTTGCCATTTGCAAACTTCTGCGCTTATGTGCAATAAACTTTGCAGTTTCTGTGACTTTCAGCACACCTGGAAACTGAAAACAGAGCAGATACTTTGTCTGTTTGAAGTCACGCTGAATAAACAATGCAAATAGCTTTCCACTTGGAGAAATATTTAAATTCTTTTATGGCTCACGTCAAAGCTATGCACTGGGCTCTCATATTTCCCGGCGAGCAGCACTAAGTGGCCAAAAGCCCCCTTTCGCCCGCAGAAGGGAATATGAATTTACACTTGTCCACATTTTTTCACACCAGCTAAGTGTTTGCTCAGCCAAGGGAAATGGCAAGACCCAAATGGAAGAAAAGCAAAGCCAGCTGCAAAATGAAAAGAAATGCTTTCCTTCGGGCGAGGAGCTTTCATTTTCTTGTTGTGTCCTGTAAGAGCAAACAATTGCACGTGAAACGCTGCCGGAATTTCAATTAACTTGTTAGCATTTCACGCTTTTTGAACTTTAAACAAAAGCAACAGACAGCAGACAAACACGACTAGCATCGACTTGAAAGCTAATTTATGTTTGGCTCCTAATGAAACGCCACTCCTAGTGGAATTTAATGTCTGGCAATGTTCTCTCCATGAAATCGGCTTGGGTGCAATGCAACAGGTGGCGAATAACCCTCTACTTAAACGCGATTTCCAAATAGAGCCAACAAGAGTAATCAGCAAAAGCCCCCTCAAATGTGCACCCCCTCCATCGAAGTGTAATTAAATTAATCTCATACTTGCGCCTACTTCGGCAAATAGCTGTAATATGCCTGCGCAATTATTACTCTCGACAGTCCCACAAAACACATATACTGGTATATCTTTCTGCACAGAAAAAAAATGTAGCTATTTTTTGGGTTGGTCGAAAAAGTTGTATTTATATAAATGTATCTTCTGAATATCCAAATGTGCAAACAATTCAATACAAACAAGAAAGGAAAGCAAACTTCGACATGTCGAAGTTATTTAACCTTGCAGCTTTTACAAAAATTTAATGTACTATATTTCGATTGAGCCTAAAAATTATTAAAACATCAGCTATATGACTATGACTATATGATTATGATATAGTCGTCAGATTTTTGGAAAATGATTTCCATATTTCGTATAATTATCTCGATTGTTCCTATGCGGCTTATACGATATAGTATGCCGATTCGGACCGTTCCGATTTATATACCTCCTGCTAAAGATATACAACTTTTTGCATAGTTTTATCCAAATAACTTTTAAACTTTAATACCTTTATAATTTTTTAGAAAGTGTACTTCAACAAGCTAGTTATTGTTTTAATGATTTAATATCTTCAGCTTTTTTTATGATTACCATCAACCTCAAATGTTAAAGGCGTCATATTGCCACGAACCAGTTTGACCGATGGAAAACTTCAAAACTATTATTAAAATATTTCTATAATCTTAGTAATAAGCGCTACTGAAACTGGTTGGAGAAGAACTGTGTATTAAATTAGAACGAAAACATAAATGTCTATACAGGCCATGATACTAATATGCAAATTCTCTATGTGTACTATTAAGTCGGCTTGACTGACAAATGTGGTCGTGCTGCTTTCTTTTATTCCTCTGATATTTATCTCGCGCTGAAAACCTCATCAGGCTTAAGCACATCGCTTAATTGCCCACAACTTAGAGTGTGTGTGTGTATATATGTCAACATTTGGGTGTATGTGTTTCAGTGTGATTGCGAGTATGAGTGTGTTTGCCATGCACACGCTCGTATTACTTCATTTCGACAATCTGACATTCGTTGCTGCTGTTTTATGGGGCAAACAAACCTGAAAACGTAAACAAAGGCTGTGTCCATTCCGCTGCCCGAGTTTTCTGGGTGAGATTTCCCCTTGCAACAGCCTAATTTCAATCCACCCACGTGCTCCGGTTCCATAAATATTTAAGTTCTATTTTTGCTAATTTTTGCGTGCAAAATTAAACGCCTGACCTTTCTCGACCCGACACGAAAAACAAATTTAATATTCCGTTCTTAGGCAAGGAAGAGACTGAGGGAAGACAACTATTTATATTGCTTAAAAAAACAACTTGTGAAATGCCCTTCATTCACTCGGCAATTGCTGCCAAATGAATTGAAGCAGTTTTAAGGCAAATATTTCAGCAAGGATGTTTCTAAAAGGCAAACTCCCTTTGCATAAATCTTATGCGCCATTAATTCCGTACTTGAGCTTGCCTTTTTAATTAATTTCTGAGCTGGGCAACCGAGCACCTTTTGTGTTTTATGCGCCACCCTAATGACACTTTTATGGATTTGAATTTGCGAGCGCCTTACTAGTGCTTCGAAAAACACCTAGTCGCCAACGAGGGTCCCGAAAGCTAAGAAATGCCCAGACACGTTCCATAATGCCTGGTGAACAATGAGCCCAGGGGTTGTAAATACGCATTTCGTACGCCTAAGAATGCAGGACTGTGGATTTTAGCTGTTTGTAGCTACCACTTCCGCTTGAGTACCGTTCGAGTGCGTTGGATCCCGCAAACTGTTGGCCGTCCTTCGTCCTTTTCTGATAGCTAGAACCAGCTAGTGGCTCCTTGGTACTACGCGGCGTATGAGTAACGTGGCGTTGCGTATACGCAACGTAAGCGCCTGCAGGCGGGGCATAGCAGCAACAGGATCTGCGAAAAGCTGCGCAGGTCCGCTCTTTGGCTCTCTTCAGCCCTCTCTTAACCCACTCTCTTTGTGCATGCTGGCCACATATTAAAGTTGGCTTAGAAGACAACTTGCTTGACGGTGCAATTATGTCAGATGCGGAGCTGTGAAATCGGATCTGCGTACACACTTAAATTTCCCAACGCCAAAGATTTAATTCAGCTTGTGCAGGTCTATCAAATTTCAGCTGTTTTTTTATGTTCAATTAACTTTAATTATTTCGAACCAACATTAAGTTGTATGCTGACCAAAGAACAACCCATAACCTTTGTTTTGACTAATTAAGTCCGCCCACGCAGATTATTGATTACCACTAAGCGCATTTTACGCCAGGTGAGTTAAATATTTAATGCCAATTTTTGGCCAGGCCGACGACTCATAAAGTGGACAGTCGAGTTTCGGGTTCGCCGGATCCATTCGCTGGATAAAATAATTTCGACTTGGGGTCACCCACAAGGACATCGAGCTGGCTGCGCTAATTTAATTTGCCTGGGCCTGCAATTCATTTGCCGAGTCGTTGACTTTTAATGCACACATCCAAGACATTTTGTTTGTTTGCTTACTTGTTGCCAGCCTTTTGCTTGACTTGGCTCACATATATTGCCCTCGTCGTGGGTCGAGACCTTGGCTTTCCAGCGGAATGCTTAACAATTTGTTTCAAGTTGCGCATGATTTGAGCCCCTTTCTTGAGCACATTTAATATGAATGCCTGGGACTTCATGTGTTCTGTGTCCTCCGTCGAGACGTTGAAGAAGAAGTTTACTTCTCAGAATGCATTTAGCCAAATTAGCTCTGGCAGGGAAAATAGCGAATGCGGTTTTCATGTGGTGACGATGCACTTGGGATCTGCTGACGAGGTTTTCCCTGGCCTTAAAGTTTTCGCTTAGCCATGGCCAGTCGATTAGTCTAACTGACAAGGGGTCGTCAATCAGCATCGGTTGGGCAATCAGTGAAAAGGCTCCAATCTCTTCCACCCGGACTCATAATTAGGGCGCAAACGCAATCGAGAAGGACGCTCCAATGAGTCGGGGGCAGGTAACTTGGTTTTAAAGTCCTCCCTGAACGCCCTTTACTGCCTTCAAGTTGCTGAGGCCATTAATTTTGAAGCACTCCAAAACACCGACGGCAGATTCTTTTAGACAATAAATATCCATCCGCTGGGGGCGTTGAAAATTCACAGAGGTCGTTATTTTTGGGCAATGAAATGTTTCACACCTGCCGTTCATCAAATTCAAGCCCGAACACTCCCTCGCAATCCACCAAACTGGATGTGCAGTGACAAAAATCGATTTAATCTGTCAGGAACAGTAAATAATTTGGACATATGTAAACGGGTTTTATTACAGGAATAATATCTATAAAATATTCATCAATTATGGGTAAATAATTTATGGAAGATTATTATAATTTTGGTTAAAAGTGTGCAACGCAGTGAAGGAGACATCTCCGACCGTATAAAGTATATATATTCTTCTTCTAAGGGTTTTATATTTGGCCAATCAATCCGACCTACCAAATTTCATAAGGATCGGAATATTCTGCAAGGGTATTTCAACTTCGGCTTCGCCCGAAGTTAGCTTTCCTTTCTTGTTTGTTGTTTTAAATTGGGAAATTCTTCTGGGATTAGTCTGAAGCGCAGCTGTGTGGCCTCGGACATCCATATTACCAGTGGTGGGGCAGACTAGAGCCACCCAAGCCTCACGGTTCACTTTGTACAAAATTACGTAGTAGACGAACATCACAAATCCCTGCATGGTGGCCGTAATGCAAAAGAGGTACGAGAAGATCTCCCCAAGATGAAAGAAGGCGAAGATTCCGAAGATCCAGGTAAGTCCCATCAGAAAGAACAGCATAATGG